CCATCAACCATGGTCAACAGAGGTCAGTGAGGTGGGGCCGGGGGGACAGGGGTAATCTCGAAGAAGAGGGTTGACAAACAATAATAGATTTGGGGGAAAAAAATAATAGATTTGGGATATGATTGCCTCAAACATAAGCAGAGCCACCCCTGCAGTTCTCACTATCTGCTATAGTTACCGGTGTCCCTTGCCAGACAGTTCAGATTTCTCGCTTTTGTCCAGTTAGTTGTGACGAAGTGCAAAGCCCTTCAGAACTTTCTCTCCCTCAGATACAGAAATAGAAGCATCCAGGCTGCCTCACCACGGTGACTCCCTAGGTGTTTATCTGAAGCAAAGCTCTCCTGCCAAGCTGTGGCAGACATGTGCTGGGAGAAATCTAGCTTTACTGTTTTAAGCCACTGAGATTTGATGGTGTTTTGTTACTACAGCATTACTTAGCCTACCCTGTTGATATTCCATTCTTTTCTTCCATTTCCCACTGCGATTCCTCACTGCCCATTGGCTGCTAACTGTATCACAGTAGAGCAATTCCGCTCTAACACACTTTGCTACTCGTTTTCCCCTCCTGCTGCTAAGGAAACACCCTCCACTTCTTTTGACCCTCTGTTGGAGGAGGATCCCACAGGGCGGTTGGGTCCCTGGTGTGAGCAGGGCTTCTTTGTAGTCCAGGCATCTTCTCAAAGACTACAGATCCCGAGGCCCAGGACAGAGGAAGGTAGAGCACAGATTTTCAAGCGCTTTTACTTCAACCACCAACCATTCCCAAATTTTTACGCTGATATTTAATTTGTCATATGCTCCTAAATTTATGCTCCACCTAAAATGTTTATTTCAAAGCCCAGTATGTCTCTTTTCTCCTCTCAAGTGGCTGCTTTTATTGATCTCTTTCTCCAAACCATCAGACTGTCTCAGGGCCCTGAGTGATGCCATACAATGTGGCAATACAGTCTAATACAAGGACTTAGAGAAAAAATCTTCATAAGCTGAATGCAAAAGGACAGGCAGAAAATTAAAAGGTTTGTCTTTTATGGAAGACTTTCTATCAGTGAAGGTGCTAAAGCACGAAGAACTAATGATTCTCAACCAGGGAATGACTTTGCCTCCTAAGAGGACATTTTGCAGTATCAGGAGACATTTTTGGTTGTCACAACTTAAAGGCGTGTTACTACTGACATCTAGTAGGTAGCCCAGGATAAAGTCAAGACTTAATTAGGAATTTGTGTCTCTAATTAGGACTTTGCTTCTCCAGAGGCTGTCATGTCACTCCTCCTTCAGCACAACATGCTGTGTCTACTTGCAACGGACCGTAAGGAAGACAAAGGAAATGACACAATGCGGGCAGCAAATAGCACTGTCACATGAATCACCAAAACTCAAGTCCTACATTGTAACTGTCACCTGTTACCTGATGTGGAGGATGGACTCTTAAGAGAGGCTGTAAATTATTTCACCATTCTCTTAAGAAAGACTTGAATCTTGCAAGCTTAACGATAATGTACTCTCACAAAGTTAGAGGCTATCTGAATCATAGTTGATTTTTTTAAGTTACTATGTGGTAAAAAATAAATAAAATAAATGTTGACCTCCCTTTTAATGCCCCTGAGGGCCTGAAACAGGGATACAGAACAAGATCTCTTGTTCTCCTAAACAGAAGTTGAGCCAATAACATAGGGTACTTTATGAGCCAAATAATGTCTGGTGTCCTGGGGCTAAAGAAAATGTTGGCACATCCTGCAAAATCACAGCTGTTTCAGTCTCATTTAGTGACTGGTCCCACTCTCTGCAGCCCAGTTTGCCTTTTGAAATATAGCACAGCTAGCTAATTCTGCAGCATGTGATTAAAGCCACTGACAAGGGAGGTTTTATTTTTTAGTTCTTTGTCTCAAAAGCTTTAGAAATCTTGACAAGTGCTGCTAAGAAATACAGATTACTTTTTTAGAAAGAAGATGCATAGAGATTTCTTAATGTGCACATGATTGTGCATATTTTTATCGAGAAAACTAAATGCATTTTGGAGTCATGATGGTAAAAAGGTAACTTCCTAAGATAAAAAAAAAAAAGTTGAACTAATTTAGTAATATGCAGTGCTCTTGCAAGAAAAGATCTCTGCCACTTCATTCCCTTACCATGTGCCCTCTTAGGTTGCAAAACAAAGTCTGTCCGCAAGCCCTTCTGAGTCAGACCTCTGAACTAGATAATCAACATGATAACCACTAAAAAATTAAAAGATTAAATGAAAATAAGCTCCAAAGGCTAATCACATGGTGTCATTCAGTTCTTCAATGATAGAACTGTGTTCTGAAAGGTTGCTAAAGTAATTTTTCAAAAATTTAAAATCATGATTCTCAAGCAAGATATGACTCTGTAGTCAAAAGTTTATTAGGGCAAAATATTTGAAATAATTGAAATCGCAATTCCTATGCAAATGTAAAACGAACATATGTCAAAGACTTTATCTAATTAATAACCAAGGGAACTGCTAAGATGGTAAAACCATTTCGAAGAGTATTTCAAAAGCTCAGTATTTACAGGCGATGTTAGGGTAAGATTGCTGGACTAGATATAAAACTGGCTAATGTCCAACAGGGTAATAAACTGTAAAACCATTAGGGTTGTCTTTTCCACCAGGCAGAAATTATTTGCATCTCAATGGGATAAAAATCTACAAGTTAACCTCTGCCCCACAACATTGTTAAGTAGACCATTCAATACAAAAGCAAGCCCAGCATTGTACTGAAAGAACACCCAAAAATCTCTTCTGGCTATTTCCAAGTGTCCAGTAACTTTTCCCACAAGTCAAATTCTGTTTCAAGAATGGAAGTTCTTAATTCTTGATGCTACTAGTTTTTGAAGAAAGGTCTTTTATCATCTTTATTTGACCCACATACAATTTCCATACCATATTTTCAGACTAGTGCCCTAACTGAGCCTTCCTTCATTCTGTGCTGAGATAAACATAAGAATTTCATAAGGTACCGGGTAGATAAATCTACATCTAGGTTATTTCATTCATTAGCTATATCACATATATTTAAAGGTACGATGGAATAAACAGGCTATAATACAGGCTTAGAGATTCTAAATTTTTTGAGCATAAGTCTAAGACATTTTATATTTTGATAAGTCCCCCAGGATACCTAATAAACTTAATAAGATTGAATGCTATAAAGAAAACCTTAACTATAGTTCTAAGACTCACCCCCAGCAAAGAAAAACAAAAATCAGTCTCTTAGGGTTTGAGATAGCTATTAACTAATTTGCATACCGCGGAAGACAATGCTTTATGTACACCAAGAAAAAGCATAAAATCACTGGTAACAATGTCAAATATATGCATACACGAACACAATCCAACAAAACTCTTAATTGTTCAGTTGTTTCTTTTATCATGGACAGTGGTAGCAAACCGTCTTCCGTACCTCACTTCTGAAAAGTCACCCATGTACAAAAGAAAACCCACTTACAAAATAAAAAGCACGCATCTTTATTTTCTAATATTTTTATTATAGATTTTTAAGATATGTATTTATTTTCGTATTATCAGCTTAAAGAAAATAAGTCACACAAGAACAAGCTTTTGTACGCCTGCCAAGGTAAATTGTTCTATTTTAAATTTATCAAGTTATAAATAAACCACATAATATGCTTATGTGAACCAAACCACAGCATAATCTGAGTGCATCTGAAAGGCGCAGAGTACTCTCATTGTTTCAGTGAGAGAAAAGAGGAGCATTACTTGGAATTAAAAGCCTGGCCCTGTAGCTATCCATTATTCAAAAATAATACGGCATGAATTATTCACTGATTATAAAGCAAAATACATTGTTAAAAAGCAAAGGTGACTAAAATAAACATGTGTTCCTGGACCTTTCATTTAATATTAAGCATGTCAGAATAACTGGAGGCAAATAAGCAAAACCAGACCCACATAAGGGAGAACCAAGCTGCCCCAAAGCAGTGCAGCTGGAGACGCAACATTATAGCTCATTTCTAAGGAGACTGGAATTCCCACCACTAATATCACAAATTTGGATAAAGATGCTCTACTCCATAAAAAGCATATTAAAATGAAAATATGCCACCTTGATGAGACAAGGTACAAGGCAACTTGACAATGAGTTATTTTAAGTCAGTGGCTCAAAATAGAACCTGGGTCTCCAAGCTTCTGTTAGGACAATTTTTTTTATTAAAATACTGATTAGTGAGAGAAAAGGGGATTTTTAAAAGCCAGAGCACAGCAGGTAAAAGTAGAGACTCGGGAGAGCCAAAGAGTGCACGGGACATGTGGAACCGAAGAAGGGAAATCAGACTGGTAGAGGGATAATGGGAAAGAATGGTCTGAAGGCCACTTCTCTAAGGGTTAGCCCAGCAAATAAGGATGTTAAAAAGTAGTACTTGAATGTGAGCCTAGAAAAGTTCTAATTAGGTGATCAAATGATCCCTCTCTCCTTGCCTGTCTTCTCTTAGAGTTAGCAGGCATTGTTTTGACATTTTTGTCCCTATACCTTTGAATAAATTAGAATCTACAGGTATATATATTTTTAAATTTTAGTCTTCATTGTTGTAATGCCTTTAACAGTTCTAATTTACAGTGATATTAAGCAACCCTTGATTAGAACACAGAAGATATGGGACTTAGCAATAACACACAGACTCGAGAAAACAGAATAGAATGCAGTACAACATTCTTAAATCATATTTTTAAACTTTCAGGGGAAAAAGAAGTCAGCATATCAGCTTTTAAATAAGGAGTAGGTGTGAGGGAGGTAGAATGATGACTTGTTCAAGATTTGAAACCTCTGTAAGAACATCTATCATATGTGATGACATGGGTATCTTTCCAGGACACAAAGATCCAACACATGAATACTGTACTTCCATGTCCCTGTGCCTAATTAAAAAGTTGGTAGAGGGAGTTTGGGAGGAATTATTTGAAGCTTAATATTGTCCAAATTCACTGTTTTAGTTCTAGTCATGTGCTTTCAATGAGGAGAACTGAAAAGAGTCAGGTTTCAATTTATTTTGTTCATATTTTTCATATTAGGATAAGCCAAACAACATATCTAAATGCACTCGGTATCTGGTTCTATTGTCAATATCTCAGCAACATCATTTAAGTCAGTTTAAATATAATTAGAACAAATCTAAAGAAATCCCCTATTATTAAGAAAATATACAAAACTATAGTATATCCTTTGTAAAAATGACATTTTTTCAAAGAGCATCCATTAAAAAAAGGCACACTAGAAGTATAGTTTCAAATAAGCTAATTTATACCTTAAAATTGTTTAATGTCTAAGCCACCAGACATAAATTGGACCAAAACTGAGGAAGCAAAACTACCTACTGTATAAATCGTCATACTTGGATGGTTTCAAAACAGAAAACAAAACAAATTTCTAAAAAAAAAAAAAGTGACACTGTGATTTTTGTTTCTCAGACTCACAGAGATAGCCGATCATATGCAGATAGAATATATCGGCGTTTTTGCAAATAACCCACCATTTCTCGTGTAGAATTATTGTGTGTGCTGGTGTTTTTGTAGATCACATGCCTCAGTTTTCCAATATGGAACTGCCTCCTCTGGGTCATATTGGGACGGCCCTGTTTTAACAATCAGCAACTGAAGAATGTCAAGAACCATTCCCATCAGTACTTGATCAGACCAGTCAATATGGCATAAAATACGCTTTGTTAAAGGAGTCAGTACCTCTGGTTTACACTGTTCTGTTAAAAGGCACAAATGTTTTAACAAAGCTAAATAATGATTACAACCATTCTGTAATCAGATGTTGAGACTCGCATGACATGATGTTAGAGGAAAATATGGACAAAAATCTTTGGAGCAGTATGTTTTTTAAAAGGTTTTAAGTCTGCTTATAGTGCTCAGACCGATCATATACACTTGGTTAAATTCATTCGTTTTATGTATTCATCTACACTGCCTCATTCCTAAAAAGGCTTGAGGTTTGTGTATGTGATTTGAAAACAAAAACAAAAAAAATGCATAAATATGCCTAGTATTATACCCAGAAGATGCTTTTGTTATTCATTCATAGGTAATACTTTGGCCCCATGTGCATTGATGTAGGTGAGAAGGATTTTGGCTCTCTGTTCTATTACATCGATGAGCTTTTCAATTCCTTGTCTACCGCCTTGACTCTCCCAATAAACTTTATCAAGAAACAGGGACTGAAGGAGTTTCTGCCGTAAGTGCTGGCTCTTCAAAACAGAAACTGCAGATTCGGGAAACCTGAGAAGATAAAATGATATTTCATTCTTAGTAATTGCTTAGAAATATTATGCCTTACCCAATTGCTCTGCCCTTCATTAATCTGGCACAAATCACACTATCAAATAGTACCTGGAGAATGAAAACATTTTTGTCACTGTCAAGCCTGTCAAGCTGACACTTCTCTTAACAATAATATACTAGAAGAATATGTCTCAAGGGACCTGAATTTTCTACGTTGAATTTTCCATTGAGAACTTGACATGCTAACATCTTATTTAAAGTCATTACTGTAGGCAAAGAGAGGCATAGAATTAAAAAGAGTTCTGTTAGCCTGGCAAAAATACTTTCCTCAATCTTCAGCTCCATTTCACCCATAGAAACCACTTCAATCTGTCAAGTTAGAATAGTATCCTCATAAGTGTCAATGTGGGGTTTTATGCAAAAAAGTATGAGAAGCAAATTGCTGACAAATGCATGACTGAATTTAATGTGAAATAATCCAAAATGTAGGTAGTAAAAAGAGAAAGGAATCATTCCATGATGCCCAATTAAATAAGGAATTGCTCCTGACTCAGACTACACTTCAGGAATTCTGAGAATCTGGGAGCATTTTACTGAACTGGAATACTAAATTGTTTTTAAATCAATTTACCAAAACTCAAGTTTTAGAGCCAGCATTCCACAGTGAACCTTCTTTGGAAAACCTGAGGCCAATTTGGAAAGGTCCTTGCTGAACGACCTTAAGAGAGTGCTTTGGGCTGCCTGTTCTTCATTTAGAAAGTGAAAACCAAGCACATACACTATCTGAAGACCTCTGTCAAGTTTCAGGTTCAAAGTCTTAAGGAATGTCTTGCTGAATCTCCAACTGGCCCCATCCAGCTTTCATTGAAATACTGACGGAAGCACAGTACAGCTACTGGGGTTACGTGGTATATTTCATGTAAACGTAATTGCTCCTTAAAAACTAAAACAAGAACATATCCTGGGGACACCTGGGTGGCTCAGCAGTTGGGCGCCTCCCTTCAGCTCAGGTCGTGATCCTGGGGTCCTGGGATCGAGTCCCACATCGGGCTCCCCACAGGGAACCTGCTTCTCCCTCTGCCTGTGTCCCTGCCTCTCTGTGTGTGTGTGTGTGTGTGTGTCTCATGAATAAATAAATAACACCTTAAAAAAAAAAAAAAGAACATATCCTTGTTTAAGGAATACAATTTGCCCAAAGTTTCAAGCCTCCTAAGTTCCTTTTCCAAATTCCAATGGAGTGAACTAAGGATGGCATTCAGGGGGCATAAATGCTGGGCATCCAAGTGTTCCAGCACTTCTGATGCTGCAGAAAGACCAAAGGCCACAGAGCTGGACGTGCTTAATGAGTCTGATTAAGTGTGGAATTAAATAATACTGATAAGATGCCCTGAGCTCCCTGAAGACATGTACTATATAATTTAGTGGCCATAGTATTAATTAAGTAAGCATTTTTGCTCTATGAAATATTAATAATCCATGATTTATAAATTCTATGACCCTTCAACTAATTTCACTGTGGCAAAATGTATGAGATGAGATGAGATGGTGAAAATCATGGATCTCTTTACCGACTAATCCTTTTCATAAGGAAAATCAAAAAAATTACCTGTATGTGCATTACATTAACAGGAATATTCTATGCATAAATCTGGGCTAGCAAAGTCATCATTTTTACTTTAAAAAAAAAAAGATTTTGGGATCCCTGGGTGGCTCAGTGGTTTGGCACCTGCCTTCAGCCCAGGGCATGATCCTGGAGTCCCGGGATCGAATCCCACGTCAGGCTCCCTGCATGGAGCCTGCTTCTTCCTCTGCCTGTGTCTCTGCCCCTCTCTCTCTGTGTCTCTCATGAATAAATAAATAAAATTTTAAAAAATAAAAATAAAAAAATTTTAAAAAGACTTTATTTATTCATGAGAGACACAGAGAGAGAGAAAGAGAGAGAGAGGCAGAGACACAGGCAGAGGGAGAAGCAGGGACTCGATCCTGGGTCTTCAGGATCACGCCCTGGGCCGAAGGCAGGCACTAAACTGCTGAGCCACCCAGAAATCCCCTCATTTTTGCTTTTCAATGCATAACTTACTTATTCAAAAAAAAATTAACTTCAAACTCATTACTCCTCATATTTCATTGGAAGTTAACTTCTTTGGAAATAAGACCGTATTCATATTAATATGAATGTATAGAATGGCTGGACCATATTCTCAGGTACTCCTAATTCCAAAAGAAAATTTAGAGATTTAAGAAGGCCCCATAATATCAGTAAGAGATGCCTTTGGCAAATTTTTCTACACATAGAATTCCTGTAGTTTAGTCACTTTAAAGAATCTGTCATATAGTCTACCTTTAATCCACAAAGAGATGTGAGAATGAGTATTATAACAGGGCAAGATGCGGCAAGAACTCATGAAATTGGGGCTCATGAAATTGGGGCTCATGAAACTTTCATGGGAGCAGTATTATTTCTAGTCCTGAAAGTATATAAAATCCACATTACCTGATTCGGAGAACTAGGAAGAACTAATGAAACATGCTTCAGAGTGTTGTTGATAAGAGCAACAGCATAAACAAACAAATCCCTGCAGAAGAAATGACTGGACCTGGATTTGGAAGACTGGGGTTCTACTCTCAATTTTAGACTCATTCACGTGCTCTCCAGCAGTCACTTAGCTTCACCAAGCTGGTTAACTCTTTCACTAATGCTCCCCTCTATTTGCAAGTCTCAGACATACCCTAATGTCTTGGTCACTGATTTCTGACAAGGTAGGAAGGCTATGTAGGGCGGCTATGAGCTGGGGGGCCTGAAATCCGCACTCAATCCCTGTAGCTAAAGTTGAATGGCCCAGACTCTACAGTGGGTTCCTGCCATTATTAAAAGAGTCTGTTTCCTTTATTTCCAAATAGATAAGCTCAAGATGCTTTCCCCCATAGTCTATGTCTACTGGAAAGATTTCCAAATGTTCAAAAACCCTCCTACCTGAATTCAAAAAGCCACTGTCTCCAGCAGATTAGCTCTAATTTCCCACTGCATTCAGATGTCTCTTGAGTGTATTATGCCTTTGGACATCCCCCCAGTCAACATCTGCATGCCTGTTCTTCCCTCTGCCCCATGCCCTGATAACGGAGTTTCTGCTACCCACTCACCCCTGCTTTGTCGGTTCCTATCCCAGAGGTCCCTGCATGCTTCCAACCTTACCCACACGGATGTTCACAATGAGGCCCAACCAACACGACAGATGTGAAATGTAGTGGGAGTTTTGTAGGTTGCATGGGTTAGTGATAGTGACACTGAGGCCGCAGTCTTGTTCTGTTCTGTTTAGGTCTGTTTCTCATTTCTGGGCCTCCAGTCCCCGATTCCACATCCACAGTTCCATTCAAGGGTTAGATCAGTCACACATAGCATTTGGGTTTTCTTAAAACCTTACTACTTATTTAATCGAAAAGTGATGTCCCACAGATGTTACAACATCATAAAACTTACTCTTTAATGCCTTCTAACAATTTGAAGTTTAAGTTATCCTCACTCCTGTCAAAAAAACCCTTGTTGTCTATGAAGACCAAATGCCTTGGGTCATGCTTTCGCTGGATAATGTGTGCCAGAGCCACAGAATCTTGGTCGTCACATTTTGGCCTCAGTCCATTCTGTACACAGGCATCTTCCTTTCGAGGTCGGAATCCACAGCAATTTGTATCTAAGCGATTATAAATCTGAAAATGGAAAACGAAAACAAAATCCAAGATGCTGAGTAAAAACAAAACTTGGGAAAATTAGATTTCTGAAGAATTAGTGCTTTCTAAATAGCTGCCTTGCCAGAATCCAATGAATCCAGGCTCATTTAATTAAAGGCAACTGTCAGAGTAAGTCCAAGGTTCATATCCTTCTGACTAAGCCATGGTTAAAAGCATTTCCAGCTTCTAACAGCTCCAAAGTCAGATCATCCAAGTTAGACATCTCCACCCTTAATATTCAAAGTTCCCACTGACATCATATGCAGACACATGGCCAGAAGAATCTCTGACTCTACTGATGACAGAAGATAGAAACCACTGCCTTTTTACATGGCTAAAGGCTATATAGCTTGTTTTCTTTCTCGAGTTGGGTTATAGAAAACCTGTGCTATCTCAGTGGCTCTAAAAATTTACTGCATCCTCTGACCTCTCTGGACTTTAGAATTACACTATCTAACCTGAAATAAATAACATAGAACGAATCTTTTGAAAAGATGTGACATTCAGCAATGATAACAAAAAGCACTACCCATATGGGGCCCACAGCTAGATTCTAAACAAGTGAGCACCATGAATAAAATTATTGGGTCCAGTGGGGTTTATTATGGGGATAGGGTTTCTATCCTATAGAAGAGGTAAACAGATCAATTAGAAAGGGATAATTGTGTCATCTCCATTTCTTTTGGGCAGGAAAGAAATATTTATTAATTGGGATAAATTAAAGTCTCAGCTTAGGAATTAGATAAATTTCAAGCCAAATCTCTGTTCTCTCACTTAGCTCTATGACCTTGTGTAGGGTCCTTTACATCACCTACTCTCAATTTAATTGGCTGTATAATGGGAATGATACTATGGCACTGTACCTTGTACAGTTAATGGGAATTTAGTTAGCTGGAGGGATCACCACCCACAGCTGTGATCCAGGCATCTAGAAGATACTCAAAAAAAAAAAAAGTGAAAATAGCTATTATTATTGAGACACACACATATAGACTATATGAAGTGATTTACCTAGAAACTATATGTTGGCAAATTGAATTTAAATTAAAAAGAAAGAAAAAGGTATCTCATTGTAGAAAAAAAAAGAAAAAGAAAGGAAGAAGCTTCCAAGACAAAAGGCAATTTCTCCATATTAATGAAGAAATATTGAGCCTCAGGGAGGTTAAATAATCCACTCTAGGTAGCATATAACTAAGTAGCAAAGTTAAGATTTAGACACAGCTATATTTGTCTCCAAAATTTCATGATTTTCCACCCAGTACATCATGTAAAATAGTTTAAGGCTAATCAAAGAGTACACATACACTCATGATTCAAAAGATGGCTGGACCCGACACTTTGGCAGTAAATTCCCATCCTTTCTCTTCCCCTGTTTCTGCAGATCCTGTGGGGCTGGCCACTCTAAGAGGCCAATTGCTCAGAAAGGAATGCAGAAAGAGCAGTACCGAAATTTAGCCTCCTTGGAAATGACCACCCATTCATTCATTTATTCACCCAACAAATGTTTATTGAACGTCTACCACCTGTCAGTGAGCTGGGCACAAAAACAAAAATGTTGCCCATGGTCAGTACCTCCCCACCAAGACTACTCCCAGAGGAAAATGAAGTGGTCATTTAATGTTGCCTCACTACCACAGCAAACCTTATGAACTGCACAAATGACCGTCCTCTCTGTCTTCTGCACAAAAGTGAACTTTGTATCAACCAGCATATTTTGAGAAACAGGGATTGTAAAAGAAGTCAGCCTAAACCAATCTTCTATGTCATTTATGTAAAACCAGTCACATGAGACAAGGGTGGTCAGTGAGCCAAGAAACATTTGGATAATGCAGAGGGTACATTGCTGATCTACAAGCAACGTACAGATAAAGGGAGGCCTCTCTTGGGATTGGTTCCAGGCAGCTGATCCATGGGGCTATAAGTCTAAGCAATGATTTATCCAAAAGGTCACATAGGCTGATTGCAGAGAACAGTAAATTCCCACTTCAGGTTAAAGCGTTTCTGTCTGATATGAGGACAGGGGTCGCCCAAAGGTGAGCAAGAGTGTCCCCAAGCGAATCACTATAGGTTAAATGAAAAAAAAAAAAGCACAAATTAGAAAGTATTAGAAAAATTTATGGAGCCCTTTCTCTTTAAACAATTTGATTCATTTTGTGTAGTATCCTGACTGCCTTTGAATATAGGAGAAATCAAGTGACATAAAGAGATTGCATCTGATTGGCAATCATTTAAGTTAAGATCAGAGAGTCGAAGAGGACATGAAAAATAACCCTTCTAGAAGCTGCTTCTCCGTTGATCTTCCCTCTTTTATATACATTAACTAATAATTCTCAAAGACGTTCTATACCATTGCTCCATCACCATTGTATGTTTATATCCAGTTATAATGACATTATATATGGGGAAAAAACTAAATCCTGCTTAATTTTAACCGCAACATTTAAGGTCTGTTATGTTGGATAAATGGTTTAGAACTTAAGTTTTATGCACCAAAACTTAGCCCTTAAGTTCGCTGAGTGGCTCAGTCTGCTAAGGGTCTGCCTTGGGCTCAAGTCACAATCCCAGGGTTCTGGGATTGAGCCCCACATCTGGGCTCCCTGCTCAGCAGAGAGTTTACTTCTCCCTCTCCTTCTGCTCCTCCCCCTGCTTGTGCTTTCTCTCTCTCTCTCTCTCTCTCTCTCTCTCTCTCTCTCATTCTCTCACTATATCTCTCTCAAATAAATAAAATCTTTAAAAATAAATAAATAAAATAAAATTTAGCCCTTAAACTACCTCATAATGGTACCCAGAACCCTGAATTTTTTTCTTCATTGTTAATTTCATATCAGTGAAGAAACGATGAAGACATAGAGCTACATTTCTGTTGTTTCTACAGCAAAGCCATCAGTAGCAAATATATTGTTAAATAATAAGCACCTTAGAGTTTAGACCACAACTTTCAGTATTTCTATAAATATTATACTCTTCTATTTTTAAACTACAAGAAAACATTAAAAGTTAGAGGTGGAAAAAGACCGATTTAGGTCATTTTTTATTGCCTTCCCAGCCTAGATTGTTTCCTACAGTGTATTTTTAAAGTGCTTTGTCTGATCTAATTTTGAATCACTCAACAGTCTGTGATGATTTCACCACTTCCCCAACAGACTGTTGTGCCATTCAAGTCTAACAGACCTTATTATTAAAAGTGTGTGTGTTCAGCTCAACTCTTCTTCTAGAAAATGTTCACCCTTCCTTTTATTCAGATCTACACATAATGTTGGTGGGTATGTTAACACACATTGAGTGTGTGTGTGTGTGTGTGTGTACACCTACAAATATAGAATTAGATTTTAAGGCCTCAAATAATCTGGGTTTCACTTCATTTTTCTTATCTTCTAACTACAGTAAATTATGTCTTTGTATTATTGTCCTTGTCTAGCAAGGGCCTAAGTAGCTCTTAAATCTTGTTCCCTAGCTCTTCTCAGAATTTTTAGAGTCTTCTTTTTGAATTCACATTCACTATACCAAAAATAATTTGACCACAAAACCATAATCCACTCCCTTAAATTCAATGCCATGTTGCTTGGCATTTAATTTAGTTATATGTTGAATACATTTCTGCTTACTTCCAAGAGAGTCTACCTATTTTTTTAAAGCCTAATAAAGCATATCCTCAATAGCTATGAATCCGTAATATGGTGTTAATATATTTTTTGGCACACACATTAAAATAATCATTCCATTTAACTACCGCATAATCAAACACTGTAATTCACATCCACAAGTCTATGTCCTTAGAAAATTATCCTACAAAGAAGACTCATTGGGGGTAAATTTTATCAGGCTAGCGACTGTGAGTATTGATCATCATTAATGCAACTTGTTCAAATTCACAACCTCTCACTTTTTAAAACAAGGAAAATCTTTTATAGAATCGATCTTCTGAATCTGAAGATTACTACCAACCATCATTTTCCATAAAATTACTCTTTCCTCTTTTAGGAAAATATATCTTTTCAATGTTTACCTAACTAAAATTATACTCAGAAAAATCCAGGTGTCCCAGTCAATTTTTTTGTTGTTGGTGTCGTGGAGATATTTTTAGATATACTGCTTTCTTCTAAAGTTCCTTTTTTTTAATTCCATTTTCCTTTTGGGAGTGTTACTTTTGCCTGAATGAAAAAATTATCATATGAATGACTCAGTTATGTTTACAGAACCTAAGCAAGTAGGCCTCTGCTGCACTGACCAGCTACCCAAAGCCCCATTGGAATCTATAGAAACCCAATGACATTCCACTCTTACACAACGCCCATTCTAGATGTGTCTTCAAAAAGTGGGTCTATCGAAGGGCAAACATACGGTCTCATTCATTTGGGGAATATAAATAATAGTGAAAGGTAATAGAGGGGAAGGGAGAAGAAATGGGTAGGAAATATCAGAAAGGGAGACAGAACATGGAAGACTCCTAACTCTGGGAAATGAACTAGAGGTGGCGGAAGGGGAGGAGGGCAGGGGATGGGGGTGACTGGGTGACAGGCACTGAGGGGGGCACTTGACGGGATGAGCACTGGGTGTTATTCTGTATGCTGGCAAATTGAACACTAATAAAAAATAAATTTATTATTAAAAAAATAATAAATAAATAACAAAAAAGTGGGTCTATCAAAGCAATGGCTTCATAGCTTCTTTTTCCTCAAAACAATGGGATTGAATGACTAATTCCAAGAAATATCTGAACAAATGCAAAAAAAATATTCTAAAAGTGCTGCTAATATTAATGAAAAACATAAGAGCAATCATTTACTGAGCATTTAGTATGTGTCAGGAACTGTAAACTTAATGCTTTATATGTATTGTTGCTTTTAATCTTCAAAGCAACCGGAAGAGATCAGTGCTACCAACAGTCCCATTTGATAAGAGAAGCAAGTGAGGCACAAGGAGACTGGTTGACTGACCCAAGGTCCATCACTTCATAAATGACAGAACTCAGGATTCTA